GTTGGTGGTAGTTGATGGTGGTTGATGGTGGTTGGTGGTAGTTGAGGGTGGTTGGTGGTAGTTGATGGTGGTTGATGGTGGTTGGTGGTAGTTGATGGTGGTTGATGGTGGTTGGTGGTAGTTGATGTTGGTTGATAGTGGTTGGTGGTAGTTGATGGTGGTTGATGGTGGTTGGTGGTAGTTGATCGTGGTTGATGGTGGTTGGTGGTAGTTGGTGGTTGATGGTGGTTGGTGGTAGTTGATGGTGGTTGATGGTAGCTGATGGTAGTTGATGGTGGTTGATGGTGGTTGGTGGTAGTTGATGGTGGTTGATGGTGGCTGATGGTAGTTGATGGTGGTTGATGGTGGTTGGTGGTGGTTGGTGGTAGTTGGTGGTAGCTGATGGTGGTTGATGGTGGTTGAATGTGGTTGGTGGTAGTTGATGGTGGTTGATGGTGGTTGGTGGTGATTGATGGTGGTTGATGGTGGTTGGTGGTAGTTGATGGTGGTTGATGGTAGCTGATGGTAGTTGATGGTGTAGTTGATGGTAGTTGATGGTGGTTGGTGATGGTTGGTGGTAGTTGATGGTGGTTGGTGGTAGTTGATGGTAGCTGATGGTGATTGATGGTGGTTGAATGTGGGTGGTAGTTGATGGTGGTTGATGGTAGTTGATGGTGGTTGGTGGTAGTTGTGGTGGTTGGTGGTAGATGATGGTAGTTGATGGTGGTTGGCGGTTTAGTTGATGGTAATTGATGGTGGTTGGCGGTAGCTGATGGTAATGGTTGTTGGTTGATGGTATTTGATGGTGGTTGGTGGTAGTTGATGGTGGTTGGTGGTAGTTGATGATAGTTGATGGTAGTTGATGGCGGTGGTAGTTGATGGGGGTTGGTGGTAGTTGATGGTAGTTGATGGTGGTTGGTGGTAGTTGATGGTGGCTGGTGGTAGTTGATGGTAGTTGATGGTGGTTGATGTCAGGTGATGGTGGTTGATGACAAGTGATGGTGGTTGATGATAGATGATGGTGGTTTTTGATAGTTGATGGTGGTTGATAATAACTGATGATAACTAGTGATAGTTGATGGTGGTTGATGACACGTGATAATGGTTAATGACAAGTGATGGTGATGATGATAGTTGATGGTGGTTGATGATAGTTGATAATTGTCGTTGATTACAGGTCATGCTAACTGGTGGCAGTTAATTTTGTTGCTCCTGTTGTTGGTGGTGGTGTTATAATAACAATAATAATAACAATAATAATAATAATAATAATAATAATAATAATAATAATCATAATAATAATAATGATAATAATAATAATAATAATAATAATAATATTATTATTATTATTATTATTATTATTATTATTATTATTATTATTATTATTATTATTATTATCCACCTTGTACCTTGACATGCAACTTCTCAGCTGGATTTCCAGCCATGAGAGAGAGGAGGAGGAGGTTCTCATTAAAGAGGAACTCTAGTGAGCAGGATAAAGCCAGGAGCAAACTTTTACCATTATCGGGGAATACTTGCTGTTAATATCTCGCCTTTTAGAACCGCACTCGCCGGTAATACTCCCATTAATAGTCTTTATCACAAAGTTAAATATTACAGAATAGCAACAGCAACGACAAAACACAAGAGAGAAATGCTTTTATATCTTTAAGAATATAAGAAAGAAGGAACATTGCAACAGGCCTACTGGCCCATGCGAGGCAGGTCCAATTCTCCTACCGGCTTAAACCAATGACCCATCTAGTCAGGTCAGGTCACGTTCACTTAAGGAAGGGGTATGGCATCAGACCTATTAGCACAAGCTAGTCAGGTCCAACTCACACCCACCCACAACCACTCATACATTTATCCAACCTATTTTTAGAGCTACACAACGTTTTAGCTTCTATGAAGGTACTCGGGAGTTTGTTCCACTCATCCACAACTCTATTACCAAACCAGTGCTTTCCTATATCCTTCCTGAATCTGAAATTTTTCCAACTTGAAACCATTGCTGCGAGTCCTATCTTGGCTAGATATTTTTAGCAAGCTATTTATATTCCCTTTAGTTATTCCTGTTTTCCATTTATACACATCAATCATATCACACTTACTTCTACGCCTTTCTAGAGAGCGCAGATTCAGGGCCCTTAGTCTATCCTCACAGGGAAGATTTCTGATACATGGGATCAACTTTGTCATCCTCCTCTGTACGTTCTCCGGTGCACTTATATCCATTATGTAATACTGTGAACAGAAGTGTGCAGCATAATCTAAATGAGGCCTAACCAAAGATATATAGAGTTGAAGAACAACCTGAGGACTCCTGTTATTTATGCTCCTTGATATGAAGCCAAGGATTCTGTTCGCTTTATTGCGAACACTTATGCACTGTTGTCTTGGTTTTAGATTACTGCTAACCAGAACTCCTAAATCCTTTTCGCAATCTGTAGTATTAAGATCTACATTATTTAGTTTATATGTGGCATGGTTATTTTCTTGTCCAATGTTTAGAACTTTGCATTTGTCTATATTAAACTGCATCTGCTACTTCTCCGACCACTGCATCAGACTATTCAAATCTTCTTGAGAGTGCTCTAATGCCCTCATTTGAATGAATTAGGCGACCTATTTTGGTGTCATCAGCAAACTTGTTTATGTCTCTATTTATTCCCTCATCAATGTCGTTTATATAAATTGTGAACAACAAAGGGTCCAACACTGACCCCTGTGGAACACCACTCGTGATGTGCCCCCACTCTGATTTCTCCCCATTGATGCATACTCTCTGCTGCCTATCTGTCAACTACGCCTCTACCTAGGAAAAAAATTCTCCTATTCTGTGTGCCTTAATTTTCCTCAATAACCTCTAATATGGAATTCTATCAGAAGCCTTACTGAAGTCCATATACACAATATCATATTCATTACCATGATCTACCTCCTCAAATACCTTTCGTAAAACCGTGCTGAGATTCCTTAATTTATGCCTTTCAAGACGGCCACAAATTGCCTCGGCAATTATTGATTCCATAAATTTTCCCACTATGAAGGTATAGGTCTATAGTTCGAAGCTAAGGACCTGTCACCTGCTTTGTAAATAGATATTACATTTACCATTTTCCACTTGTCATGCACTATGCCAGTTTGTAGTGATATGCTTAAAAGACTAGCCAAAGGTTTGCTATGCTCCTCTTTACATTTCTTTAAAATCCTTGTAAACAGTTCATCAGGACCTGGGGATTTGTTCAGTTTTAATTTCTCTATTTGTCTGAGGACCATGTCAGTAGTTACCCTAATCGTGCATAGTTTATTATCGTCCTGATCTACCTAATTTATAATTTCTGGAATTTCGCTAGTATCTCTCTGTATAAAAACTGAGAGGAAATAAGATTTAAAATTTTCACACATTTCCTTATCACTGTCAGTGATCTGACCTCTGGTACTTTTGAGTGGACCAATCTTGTCCCTAATCTTATTTCTATCTACCTGAAAGAAACCTTTTGGGTTAGTCTTTGAATCCCTTGCCACTTTAGCCTCATAATCTCTTTTAGCTTTTCTTATTCCCTTTTTTATTTGTCTCTTTAACTGAATATATTGATTTCTTAACTGCCCCCTCTCCTCTTTTGATACGCCTATATATACCTTTCTTTTGACCAATAAGATGTTTTAATCTACTGTTTATCCAATTATCTAATTTCCCTACTTGGAACATAAGTTGTCTGGGCAGCTAGAACTATGCTCTCAAAAACGTCATATTGGCAACCAACACCACCTACCTGACCCATAGTCAGGTCTTTCCAATTTAGCCCACCCAAGTAATTTCTCAGTCTCATGAAATCGGCCAAGCGGAAGTCTGGGACAGAGACTTGATTGCAGTTATTTGGGTAATTCCATGATATATTGAAACTAAGTGATTTATGATCGATCTCCCCAAGCTCATCATTAACCTCAAGATTATTAATTAGTGATTCCTTGTTGGCAAGAACCAAGTTTAGCAGATTTTTTCTTTAGTTGGTTCTGCCACAAACTGTTTTAAAAAGCAATCCTGAATCGTATCAAGACTCAAGATTTCCTGTTATAGTGTTCCAATCAATTTGTCTAAAGTTAAAGTCTCCCATTAACACGACATTTTCATATCTAGACGCCTTATGAATTTCGTCCCATAGCAGCTTACTGTACTCCCTATCACACCCAAAATTAATTTGTCACGACCCTCGAGAAACGGTAGACAAACAGTCTGTGTCCGATGCTTCTAATCGTATATCTTGTCTAACACAACATTTTAAATTATCTCTGACATACATCGTCACTCCAACACCCTTCCTGTTGACCTTATCAGTGTGGAATATTTTATCGCCTTGTATGTGACACTCAGAAAGTATTTCTCTATCTTTCAGACTGAAAGACAGAGAAATGTGATGATATCTCATCTTTGCATGTAAATATTGTGATCATTCACAGCACAGTCTCGTATGTTTGGTATCTGCACACACCCACTTTCTCTCTCTCTCTCTCTCTCTCTCTCTCTCTCTCTCTCTCTCGTAAAAAAACCCATGATTACTATCCTTTGTGTGAAAATCAGCCTTTTTTGTAAGTCCAGCCAGGACTCATTATACTCAGCAGTTGCCTCACGCATGAATGTTCAATTAGATGGAAATAGGGGAAAAAACGCATCTCTTATGATCCATTTCCATGACGTCCATAAAAAACTGGAAATGTGCTATTTTTACCCCATATAAAACGTGTCTTCCTCTGTGTCTTAATTTTACTTATTAAACTTCAAAGATAATTATGATTTTGAGATATTATTATTTTATTATTATTAATATTTAAAAATAAATTTAATAATAATAAGCAATCAATCAATTACACTAGTATTTCTGATAGCTTTCATGTTAATTATGATCAACACTATCATCTTAATCATCATTAATATAATTAATGTTTATTATAACTACCGTCATCATTATTATAACCTTTATTATCGTCATGATTACAAGTAATATCATCCTCATTATTATAACTATTATGATCATACTAACATCATTATATTATTACCATCATTATTATCTCAGTTCTCACCATCATCATCTGCATCATATCATTATACTACACATTCTTTTTTGTAAAGTCCTTGACTCGTAATGAACATGTACTTGACACAAACATTTTCAGAAACTTGAAAATATTGGCTATGAAGTGGATGCTGTGACCCGTGTGGGGCATTCAACACAAGGAGTGGTCCAGGTTCGACTCTCTTTCTACTCATGGCTGACTGGGTAATAACAGAATCTTACACCGGACGTTGTACAGTTTCTGCCTCGGCGATACTCAGTTACTGGGCGGGTGTGTCAGGCTGTGTAGAACGGACATAGGTGGGTGTGGGCGTGTTGACGGGGGCGTGTGAGGGCGTGCAGATGAGGGGTGTGCGAGGGCGTGGAAAGCAGCATGACAGCTGGGAGTTACAGCCCGCTGGACGCACCTACAGAAGTGGAAAGTGAAAGGATGGGCTTGAAGCATGGCGATGTCTGCTGCCTTCCTCGCTCTCTCATCTAGAAAAATGTAAGGATAAGAAATCAGGCTTTAAAGTCTTTTTCTGTTGTTGTTATATACATCAAGGAAGCCATTAAAATATGTGCTCTAACCTTTCTAGTTATGAGCCCATCAAAATTAAAAATTCCAGTGACTATGCAATCACTGAGCACGAATTGCTGTTGAGGGAGTAGTAGGTAGGAAATCAGACTGTTAGGAAGGTAGACTGTTAGGAAGGTAGACTGGTGTGAAGACAGACTGGTCCAAGTCACATCCACTTAAGAAGGAAGAAACTAGTCATACGTACTGGCCCAAGCCAGTCAGCTCTGACTCACACCCATTCATATATTTACCTAACCTATATTTAAAACTACACAACGTTTTAGCTTCAATTACGTTACTCGGGAGTTTGATCCACTCATTCACAGCTCTGTTACTAAACCAGTGCTTTCCTATAACCTTTCTAAATCTAAATTTTTCCAACTTGAACCCATTGCTGCTAGTCCTGTCTTGGTTAAGAACATAAAAAAACATAAGAATGGAAGGGAAACAGACAGGTGAAGAGGCACACAGTTTACCTGGCAGAGCTGTAGAGACAGAATAAGCAGTATCACTCTGCCAGGTGTCAAAGCTGGGTACCAGATTGTTGGTAGTTCGTGCCAGCTGTGTTTCCTCCGTGGAATGTGTTGAGGAGTAGCGTGAAGCACCTTGTCCTGGAGCAGTAAGGGCTGCCTCTCCTGTGAAGTATGTTGGAGCCTCCTTGAGAGTGTGTAGTGAGGAGGGAAAGTGTTGGGGCTTGGAGGAAAGCGCCCCCAACACAGACTTTTTACTCCACCAACCTGATGACCAGAGGATCACAGAAAACTGTCAACACTATAAAACACAGAGAGATAAAGATGAGAGGCTCACGTTAAAATACTTTTATGTCATGTAGGTGAATGTTTTCATCATTTATATTTTAAAAGTAAAATGATAAACAACTGAATATGAGGAATAATAATCAGGAGACCGTGCCTGTAACAATTCAAACTAATCCACAAACTAGTAACTGAAACTAGATTAAGCTTCGGTTCATCCTGAACCATTGTCACTCAAGATCTAACAATGGTTCATGATGAACCTGAACCTTGTCTAAGATTCAGTTTCCAACTTATGGAAGAGTTTTGAAATTCCTCTGAACCACTAGTATTACTACACAATACTAAGTCCTGTAGTAGTTCAGTTACTTAGGTAGATAAGTAACAGTCACAGGTCTAATTAGCCAATCAAGTTATGTCTTTTACTCACTGTTTTGACTAGTGACCCCGGCGTGACCTCTGGTCAAGGTCATCACCAGCAGTACCGCCGGCACCATAATCTTCACTAACGGTTTCATCTTTGACCTGAAATTATTTCTGTAAGCTGTGACGGGTGTTGCTGGTGTTGGAGGAACTGTTGATGGTGTTGGAGAAACTATTGCTGGTGTTGGAGGAACTGTTGCTGTTGCCGGAGGAACTATTACGTTTCTCCAACGAACTGTAACTGTCTGCGTTACTTTAAAATTTAATTAAAGGAAGGTTTTGAGGCGATTTGTCCATTAAGACTTTTCGGAAACAGAGCCAAGTTAATCCTAGATTTTCCCGATGAGGTTTTACTATCACCTTCCTTGCTGATCCACTGAAGATCTTCCAGGAATATATATACCAAGTCGCTGCCCACTGTCACCCAGTTCACACAGGCGCCATCATTCCCGTGTCATCTGCCCACACGCACTTGACACAAGCCTCGATAAGGGCTCTTAGAGGCGGCAGGATCTGGCTCAGCCAGGCAGAAAACAGCTTGAGTTCCAACTTGTGTCACTGTGGTATGCCAGACGCGGAGATGCACAGGATATCTCTCACTCTTCGAGTGTGATACCCAGACATCATCCACAGAATTAATGAATTACATTACTCGCAAGACGAGCATTCTTCATGCGTTTATTGAGCGTAAGATTCCCGGCTTCTTGAGAGTTCTTGATGTTCTTGAGGAAGATGATTGCCGTGTGTTGTCTTGGGCCAGCCTCAACTTCCTCGCCTCCCACACGTCACTTATTGCTTCCTGTTGCAGTTACACTGCAACCACATCACAGCAAGTTACACCCCAGCCACAGCACAGCCACCCCAGCCACAGCACAGTCACACCCCAGCACATCACAGCCACGCCCCAGCACAGCACAGCCACACCCCAGTACAGCACAGTCACACCCCAGCACATCACAGCCACACTCCAGCACAGCACAACCACATCTCAGCCACAGCACGATCACATCCCAGCCACACATGCACGTTAACCGAACAAATAAAAAATAGAGAGGTGCGAAGAAAGACTGTGAACACAGTTGCTGCCTTTGTTAAGTTTTGCTCATTATTCTGAGACTTCTAGTTATAATAATGTATCGTAAAGTTACCACTACATCTCCTTGTCCCAAAAATAGTATATACACCGATAGGTGGGTATCTGTGTATATATACAGAGTGGTGTGCATATTTCTGTGTATATGCACAGAAAGTATATACGGTTACAGTTATGCTTTTATCCCATTAGTGATTAAAGTCTGGCTGGTGATAGTCGTAGCCCCAGACCCGAATGACACTCGAGTCGTCGAAGGACTTTAAAATTAAAAATAAAATTAAGTATGACATTACGAAGGAATAGTTCTTGAAATGAAAATTTCACAATATCATGAATATATATATATATATATATATATATATATATATATATATATATATATATATATATATATATATATATATATATATATATATATATATATATATATATAATATATGGGAAGTACAATGCCTGCACTTTAAAGGAGGGGTTTGGGATATTGGCAGTTTTGGAGGGATATGTTGTGTATCTTTATATGTGTATGCTTCTAAACTGTTGTATTCTGAGCACCTCTGCAAAAACAGTGATAATGTGTGAGTGAGATGAAAGTGTTGAATGATGATGAAAGTATTTTCTTTTTGGGGATTTTCTTTCTTTTTTGGGTCACCCTGCCTCGGTAGGAGACGGCCGACTTGTTGAGAAAAAAAAAAAAAAAAAAAAAAAAAAATATATATATATATATATTATATATATATATATATATATATATATATATATATATATATATATATATATATATATATATTACTGGCATTGGCCATCAATACGTAAATTCGTAAATATTTCTGGTAAATTAAAATCTAACTATGATAGTCTGACAGCATCGTTATGAGTCACATACCCATGGTGTGGGTGTCAAAGGATCGCAGACGTACATAATGCGTCCAGGGACTGGACTCCAACATTTGTGTTTGCTAAGTTACAGTGGTAATGAACTATATTCTGACTTCATGATGATAGCAGTGAATTCGGACACAAAACATTACCATGTAGTTATGTAGTTATATTTGGTAATGAGTTATTGACAAGGGGTTATTTACGAGTTTTACGAGTTATTTACAAGAGTCTGTGTATTTTACCAGAACTGCTAATAATGAGTCGCTGTTGATTAAATACTTTGACATTTCTTGAACATCACTGAGATGTCTATGATATGATGACCTTATCAGCAGACAATAACTCAGACTGTGACAACACATAAACTTAAACGAAGGTAAACTTATACGTATCGTTTAGAAAATGGCGCCCCCGTTACTGAACTGTGTATTTTGCAGAGGGAAGTCTTGACAGCTAAGCTGGAGCTGACGATAACCAGGGTTATCTGTGTCTGATGGCTATTGTTGTGGAAAACCAGGGTTATCTGTGTCTGATGGCTATTGTTGTGGAAAACAAGGGTTATCTGTGTCTGATGGCTATTGTTGTGGAAAACAAGGGTTATCTGTGTCTGATGGCTATTGTTGTGGAAAACAAGGGTTATCTGTGTCTGATGGCTATTGTTGTGGAAAACCAGGGTTATCTGTGTCTGATGGCTATTATTGTGGATTCCTAGGGTTATCTGTGCCCTGATAGCTATTGTTGTGGATAACAGGGTTATCTGTGTCTGATGGCTATTGTTGTGGATTCTCAGGGTTATCTGTGCCCTGATAGCTATTGTTGTGGATAACCAGGGTTATCTGTGCCCTGATGGCTATTGTTGTGGATTCCTAGGGTTATCTGTGCCCTGATAGCTATTGTTGTGGATAACAGGGATATCTGTACACTGATAGCTATTGTTGTGGATAACAGGGTTATCTGTGTCTGATGGCTATTGTTGTGGATAACCAGGGTTATCTGTGCCCTGATGGCTATTGCTGTGGATTCCTAGGGTTACCTGTAACCTGGTGGCTATTGTTGTAGATAACCAGGGTTATCTGTGTCTGATGGCTATTGTTGTGGATAACTAGGACAATCTCTGCCTGATGGCTATTGTTGTGGCCACATCTAAGACACCATTTCCATAGGTCTTCCTTCCGCCCTCATCCACCCACCTTCTACCTGCGTCAACATCAGCACTTGAAAAGAGAGAGAGAGAGAGAGAGGAGTGGTCAAGCAGATACTGCTTGAAACTTGCCAAGAACGAGTGATTCTCCATCTCGGGTCATAGCACACACCAAGCCAGGCCACCGACCCACCCTGAACACTCCTAAATAAGCTGTAAGTGAGAAACCGGTTTGGTTTGACTCTTAGCTGCCGCTAGCGGCTCTAAGGTCAAAGTTGATAGGTGGGGAAGTGAATTTTTTCTTTGTTTAAAGTGGCTATATCGGCAGTGTGTTGTTATTGTGCTAATATAATGACTACAAAGTGGGAACATCCACAGTGTGTCAGCAGTAGTATAGCAGGAGTCAGCAACCAGGCACAGTAGCATAGCGGGTGTCAGCAGCCAGGCACAGTAGTATAGCGGGAGTCAGCAACCAGGCACAGTAGTACAGCGGGTGTCAGCAACCAGGCACAGTAGTATAGCGGGAGTCAGCAGCTAGGCACAGTAATATAGCAGAAGTCAGCAACCAGGCACAGTAGCATAGCGGGTGTCAGCAACCAGGCACAGTAGCATAGCGGGTGTCAGCAGCCAGGCACAGTGGTATAGCGGGAGTCAGCAACCAGGCACAGTAGTATAGCGAGTGTCAGTAGCCAGGCACAGTAGTATAGCGGGTATCAGCAGCCAGGCACAGTAGAATAGCGGGTGTCAGCAACCAGGCACAGTAGTACAGCGGGAGTCAGCAGCCAGGCACAGTAGTATAGCGGGAGTCAGCAGCCAGGCACAGTAGTATAGCGGGAGTCAGCAGCCAGGCACAGTAGTATAGCGGGAGTCAGCAGCCAGGCACAGTAGTATAGCGGGAGTCAGCAGCCAGGCACAGTAGTACAGCGGGAGTCAGCAGCCAGGCACAGTAGTATAGCGGGAGTCAGCAGCCAGGCACAGTAGTATAGCGGGAGTCAGCAGCCAGGCACAGTAGTATAGCGGGAGTCAGCAGCCAGGCACAGTAGTATAGCGGGAGTCAGCAGCCAGGCACAGTAGTATAGCGGGAGTCAGCAGCCAGGCACAGTAGTATAGCGGGAGTCAGCAGCCAGGCACAGTAGTATAGCGGGAGTCAGCAGCCAGGCACAGTAGTATAGCGGGAGTCAGCAGCCAGGCACAGTAGTATAGCGGGAGTCAGCAGCCAGGCACAGTAGTACAGCGGGAGTCAGCAGCCAGGCACAGTAGTATAGCGGGAGTCAGCAGCCAGGCACAGTAGTATAGCGGGAGTCAGCAGCCAGGCACAGTAGTATAGCGGGAGTCAGCAGCCAGGCACAGTAGTATAGCGGGAGTCAGCAGCCAGGCACAGTAGTATAGCGGGAGTCAGCAGCCAGGCACAGTAGTATAGCGGGAGTCAGCAGCCAGGCACAGTAGTATAGCGGGAGTCAGCAGCCAGGCACAGTAGTATAGCGGGAGTCAGCAGCCAGGCACAGTAGTATAGCGGGAGTCAGCAGCCAGGCACAGTAGTATAGCGGGAGTCAGCAGCCAGGCACAGTAGTATAGCGGGAGTCAGCAGCCAGGCACAGTAGTATAGCGGGAGTCAGCAGCCAGGCACAGTAGTATAGCGGGAGTCAGCAGCCAGGCACAGTAGTATAGCGGGAGTCAGCAGCCAGGCACAGTAGTATAGCGGGAGTCAGCAGCCAGGCACAGTAGTATAGCGGGAGTCAGCAGCCAGGCACAGTAGTATAGCGGGAGTCAGCAGCCAGGCACAGTAGTATACAAAGGGTGTCAGCAATCAGACAACAGTACAGCGGGTGTTAAGCTTATGATTCAACATAAGACTTGCTACATCATATGTAGGTCGTAGGATACTATGTGTGCTGATGCATGTGTGGGCAGCCACCCATGTTGGTAGAGCACTGAGCCACGTACGGAGAGAGAGAGAGAGAGAGAGAGAGAGAGAGAGAGAG